TATCTCTTTACTGGCGATCATAATGTCGTCCATATATATTACTACCTTACCATCCCTAATCATGTCCGCAAAAATTGTATTAATAAATCGCTGAAACACCGCAGGAGCATTTTTTAGCCCCATTGGCATCCGCATAAATTCAAATTGTCCTAATGGCGTCATAAATGAAGTATATTTTATTGAGTCATCGTCCACGAACACATGAAAGTAGCCATGTTTTAAATCTAATTTCGAAAATATTGTTTTATTTACTAAAGTGTCTAACAAATCATCTATTAAAGGTAAAGGATAGTTATCTTTAACCATTGTCTTATTAAGTTTTCGATAATCCACACATAATCGTAAGTCGCCTGTTTTCTTTTTTACTAACACTATTGGAGATGCGTACTCCGATTGACTTGGTCTTATAATTCCCTCGTTTAAATATTCATCTAATATAACCTGTAACTTTTCTTTTTCTGTATAAGCTAAACGTCTGGGCGAACAACTAAAAGGTTTAGAATCCTCTAATCTTAATTTTATTTCACATCTAACTTCGGGTTCCTTTGGTCTTTGTTTATTTACATAACAGCTTTCTACCATTTTAATAAAATGACGCCTAACATTATAATTCACTTCATTGCCAATTTTGTAATCTGGACTTTCATCTGTAATATTAATATTAAACAATTCCCTTGCCACTAGATCTATTTCATTGCTATTCCTAACTATTTCTTTATCTGTAACTTTACTAACTTTTTCTAATCATCTGCCTATTGTCGCTAATTTTATCACTAACATTGCTAACTATCTGGTTTTCATGACTAACAATATCACTAACAATCTGATTTTCTTCTCTAACATTTCTAACAATATCACTAACAATCTGCTTTTCATGACTAACAATATCACTAACAATCTGATTTTTATTACTAACAATATCACTAATTATTTGATTTTCATTACTAACATTTGAAGAATTTTCCATGTTCTCCACCGTAACCATTTTCAAGGAGTCGAGGTTTAAATTAATATTACATGCTTCCATAAAATCTCTTCCCAGTATTACATCATGACTCATAGACATGTTCGCCACAATAACTAAATGAAAATGTATTTTATTTAAATTCTTCTTAACGTAACATAATATTCTTCCATACGTTTCTAGATAACTTTTATTTAATCCATGGTATAAACTTAGAACAGGTAACTTGCAGACATTTGCTGGTACTTTAGATATTTTGATCAATGAAATCGGGCTTCCCGTGTCTATGAGGCATTCTGTAATTAACCTGGTATTAGAATCATTCATAAAATTAATTTCAAAGTATCTTACATAATTGTTTTTGCCTCCGGGCTTATTTTTGTTTTTCAAGCAGGTTGCCACAAAGTGCCCCATCTCGCCGCACGCATAGCAAGATCCCTTCTCCCGCTTCGCTTTCCTACATTCAGATGCCCAGTGTCCTTTGGCGTTGCAATTATAACAGCGCGTCTCTTTGTTGTCCTTGAAGTGCGCCACTGTCGTCGTCCCTCCAAAACGTACGGATTTGGGCAAGCTAATATCGGCAAATGCTCGCTTCATTTGTCTAACATTTTCAAAACATTGCATGTGCGCCTGATTACGCAGCCCTTGATTCGGGATTCCCTCAATAATGCAGTCTAACATTTCTTCTGGCTCCATATAAATGCTCTGAGCAAGCATTACTTTGTCGTCCGCATAACTGCCAAAAGTTTCACCGGCATTCCATTGGCGATTCTCAAACTTGCGCCTTATCTCCAGTTTCGAAGCCTTTTCGCCAAACATTGAAATCAGTTCGGCAGTTAATTCTTCAAGTGGTAGCAAAACACGCCCTGAATTTGCGTGCAGCCAAACATTGGCTTTACCTTTAATCTTGCTGATCATCAACATTTTAACGTAGTGCCCAGTTATGCCATAGATGCTGGCGATATTATTCATTTGAGTAACCCATTTGCGGGCACACGATTCACCAGAGAAGTCACTCAACACTTGCATTGCCATTCCCAACGAAATATCAATGCTCTGATTAAAATTGTACTCCATGTTTTCTTTGGCGACGTTGCCTTTTTTCACCATACGTGCGTTGCTAACTGCGTCGTTAAAATTCTCTCTAGCTTTGTTGTTCTCTGCACACTTTTGATTTTTGCCTTCCTTCTGTTCGCCGCCTTTTTCGTTGTTCCTTTGACCCTTTTCTTTCTTCTCAGTGCTGCCGCCAACTTCGTCCATGCTGCCTATAGCTTCTTCGTACTCATCGCCAACTTCGCTTTCGATTTCTCCGTCTTTGCCGTTATTCTCATCGCTTTTCTCTCCATATTCCTCGATGTCGCCGTCTTTGTCGTTTATTTTGTCGCCGTCTTCTTCGCAATCCTCGATGCCGCCGTCTTTTCCGTTTCTTTTGTCGCCGTCTTCTTCAAAATTTTCGATGTCGCCGTCTTTTTCATTGCTCTTGGCGCCGTCTTCTTCTTCGGAATTTTCTATGTCGCCGTCTTTTTCGTTGCTTTCGGCGCCGTCTCGATTCCCTTTTTGTACTAACATTTCATCACCCATTTTGCGTATTTCAAGCGGTACTTTGTTAAGACGTAAAATTAATTCTCGTTTTGTACCCGTCGTTGATAAGTTAAGTACACTTAACCACTTTTTTAATTGTTCAATCGTTGCGTCGTTTAAATCCATTTTGTTTTGTTAAGTTTTTATTATCTTAGTTTTTAGTCTTCTTTTTCGTTTTTATTTATTTGGCTTGTGATCTGCCCACTTCTGAATTTGTAGGGTTATAATTTATATCCCCAGTTATTGAATTTAACACAGTTATATTTATTAATCACTTTATTTAGATTTATAGTCTCTTGTCAGGATCGCTGCTGGCTTTCAACTGACTTCGCTCTCAGCTCTCGACACGCACCAACCCCCGACTCTCTAAGAGAGTGAGTGTGGTGAGATCACAAGAGAGAGAGCAAGCCCAGTGAGAGCAAGCTCTACAACAATAACAATGTATTCTAGGAATATACAAGAATGTTCTAGAAGGAATACCGCTACTTATATATATACATACATACTACTACGTAGCCATCCTGCTACACACACACATTTTCATTTATAAAGTTCGTATTCATTACAAGGTTTTCCAAAAATAATCGGAATATAATATGGCTGCTCTTATATAATTTTTAACTAGAGACAATTCAAGATTTAATTGCAGATAAGGCAAGGGTATAGTAAATAAAAATGTATATAATAAAAAAATAATGGATTAGAAATATAAAGTAAAGATAATTTTAAATTATAAATTCGATAATTAGGGATGTTCAAATATTCAATTAAATCTTCGTTATAACTTCAGCATGTTTCTTTTTATTCCAGCCAAAATCTATTTAATTAATTCGTTATTCATAAGATGTCGCGATCGGCAATGGGCTCTTGTTTAATTCACTTTATTTTCCATAGGGTTTATTTACTTTTTTATTAATCAAGGGGTATTTGTTCAAGTGTGAGATATTTTGAATATATATATTTGGCAAAGATAAATGTAAGATTAAAACTCACTGATTTTTGTAGGCATTCCAGCGGCGAAAGATCGATCTCCCGGGCAGGTGGCTGTAACAGGCAAACTTGGTCGCCATGGGGTTAAATAATAATATTCAATTAAATCTCTTAACACTCGCGACCCTTTGGAGGTTATTTAGATTGAAATTCTGAGGCCCGAAACCGATAACGTCACCTAACTGGAATCTTGAACCGCTTTACAAAATTTCTTTACATATTCTTAATTAGATTTATATATTACTCTACTTTGTTCTACAAAAAAAACAAACGTCGCCTTCCAGGTTTAGTTATGGGAAGGCATAGCTTTCCAAGCGCGAGGTCTCCGTGGCAAAATCGAAGGTATACCGAATTTTCTTCACCGTTTCGGCTTATTGGAATTAGGTAATGGAACCCAGTGGACTGTGGATCGTGGAATTCGGATTCCAACCGGTGAATTGGGAAATTTAAAGCATCAGGCGCGCGATTATCACTTATTGGTTTGTTTAGGTATGATTCTTTTCGGGAATTAGCTGGCTGACATATACTTTATTTCCCGGAAAACATGGTTGTTGGGCTTTAGGTTAGATAGGCGATCACTTAAAAAAAATTAAGGTTTAGACTGCCATGCCACGTGATGCCTTCGCTGTAGGTTATGTGGGTCGAATCTCCTTTTTTAAACGCCTTGGATCTTGCTTATTTAAACGCCAATATTAATGTGGGGCACAATCTAGAGCAAATTAAAGCCTAATAAGCACAAGTTCATGGTTTTCCCACCGAGATAAATTTTATCTACCTGCTGATCATGCCCCCGCCGTACGCTAAGGGTGATTTGGAATTTTCCAAACGTCGTTTCCAGCGAGGTATTCCAATTTATAAGCCCCAGAGGGCACTTCTCTGCGGCGGCAGTAAAATGGATCTTAGACGAGGCTTTTACGCCAATCGTGACCCGGAGGAAAATATCTAGAGAATATTTTGGGGTTAAATTGGAAAATGTCTGCCTTTTTGTGAGTTTTCACTTACATCAGAATTCTTCTGTAACCCGCAAAGCACAAATTATGTCTTCTCTGCTGCTTGGGAGTGATATTTTAGCCCGTTTCGCGTTATGTTCACTGTGATTTTAAAATTTCAAAAAGCGAATTGAAAACGCGGACGGATTGTACGTCTGGCTATCACGGCGGTCGAAAAGAGAAGAACGCTACCGGATTTTGGATAGGTGCGGTTAGGGTATGGGCGGAAGTTGGTGGCAGATGCTTATGACAGGTGCCAGAATCGAGCTTTCCACTGCATCTCTGAAACAGCTGTTTCGAAATCTGGAATGGTTGGTAACTACCTAAGATAAACCCCGCTTTAACTATTTTGCTGTCAGCTTTTAGGCGAAAATTCTAAACCAAGTCGCTTCAGGCGCCGCTACAAAACCCCCCGCTACAATCAGACTAGGGTATTTAGTTCTAGATACCCTAGACTGATAACGCCTGGAGTGACTTTATTGTCGAATATCCTTGGCGTGATAATTGCCTAGCAATCGACCTTGTAAGTCTTCAAGCTCATAGTAAGAGTTACCTATTTTTCTCCTAATACGGGCTTTTACAAATGACGGTCCAAACTTGGCGTTGTAGCCCGTTTGGAAGCAACTCTGCTTGAAATTGCGGCGAAATACCTCTTGACCCTGTACAAACGATACCTCTCTTGCGCGTAAGTTATACCTTTTTTCGTTCACATCGTGAGCTTTTTGCATTTGCTTTTCAGCTTCCTCGCGAATTATCTCAAACGAATCTCGTCGATTAAACAAGAGAGATCGGTCATCTAGCATATTCAACCTCCTCAACAATGCATAAGTCGAACCAGAAGTAACCATATGTTGGCCAAACGCCATATAGTATGGTGTGGTCCCTATACTTGAATGGATTGAAGATCTTAATGCACAACATATCTTGTTAAGGTACTCGTCCCAGTCCTTTTGATCTGGTCTTAAGTATGCTCTAATCCCTGAAATGACTGAACGATTCACGCGTTCAGAAGCGTTGGCTTGCGGTGAATGAACAGCTGTTAGAATGTGTGAGATTTCGTACTGCTTCATCAGCTTCTGAAACGCTTCGGAGCGAAACTGGGATCCGTTGTCTGACACAATGGTTTCGGGGACTCCGAATGTCGTGAATAGCTCCCCCTCAAGATACTTTATTACAACGCTTGCGTTTATCTTCTTTACCGGTTTGAGGAATACAAACTTCGAAAAATGATCGAGGACTATGAAAATCCCGATATTTCCACTTCTTGAACGTGGGTAAGGTCCGAGAAAATCGATGAAAATACGCTGAAAAAGCCGTACGGTTTCTGGCGCTTTTCCTAACGGTGGTCTGAGAACATGATTTGGTGGTTTAGTCGATTTACATGTCTCACAGGCATTAATGTATGCTTTCACGTCAGGCACGAGGCGAGGCCAAAAATAATACCTCCTAACGCGCTCAACAGTCTTGTGTATCCCGCCATGGGAAGCCAACGGACTGTTGTGAGCCTGAAAAAGAACTTCGGGGACCAGCTCTGAGGGTATCCAAAGTTTCCATGCATATTCATCGTGTACTTGTTCTCCTGTCAAATGTTCTGCCTTTCTATACAAGTACCCGTCCTCTATTTTAAGATCAGGAAAATTAGCTTTCTTCTCTTCAACTTTGGCTATCAGATCCTTGTAAGCAGGAGATTTAAAGTGGTTAGAAGTTAAATCAACTAGCAAACCTTCCTGCAAATCAACTGCCGCAACTTCGTCCTCGTTAACGCGGGACAAGGAATCGGGAACCACGTTCATCGTTCCTTTGCGATGCTCAATTTTAAATCGATATCTTAGCAAGGCTAACGCCCATCGAGCTAAACGAGAACTGAGATCATGATTAGACATTAGCCATTTAAGCGAGGCGTGGTCGGTAATGATCGTGAAATCATCAAGCTACTATCGCCGCTAAACACTCCTGCTCGGTTACGGTATAGTTTCTTTGAGCTCGATTTAGCTTTTTCGAGATAAAGGCTATAGGGCGTTCGTCTCCTTCGGAGGAAACCTGTACCAACACAGCACCGACACCAGACTTGCTAGCATCGCAATGGATGGCAAATGGCTTAGAAAAGTCCGGGCTACATAACACCGGAGCCTCGCTGAGACGACTCTTCAAGAGTTCAAAGGCTTTCAGAGCATCTGGGGTAAGACTGAACCTTCGTTTGGTTGTCATTAAATCGGTTAAAGGAGAAGCGAGAGAGGCAAAATTCGGAACGAATTTGCGGTACCAACCACATAAACCCATAAAACTCCTTAAACCTCGCAGGGTTTTCGGGACAGGAAACTCGGTGATTGCTTTAACCTTTTCAGGATCTGTTCGAATTCCGCCATCGCCAATGATATGCCCCAGATAACGTACACGTCGCATGCAGAAATGACTTTTGCCAATATTGATTGTCAATCCTGCACGCTTGATGTGAACGGCAATCTCCCTAAGTACGTCAAGATGGTTCTCAAAGTTTGACGATACTACCAGGAGGTCATCTAAGTATACGAACACCTCGTTCCTGAGATGCGCTGGGACGACTTTGTCCATCAAGCGAGACATTGTGCTGGTGGCATTGCAAAGCCCAAAAGGCATTACTTTAAATTGGTAGAGTGGCCTACCAGGGACTGTAAATGCAGTCTTGTCTCGGGATTGAACTTCCAACGGCACTTGCCAATAGGCATCTTTCAAATCAAGACTAGTAATATACTCGGCTTTTGGCAACCGACTTAAGATGCCGCTGATTTGAGGAAGCGGATAGGCGTCCTTTTCGGTAAAACTATTGACTTTCCGGCAATCTAGGCAAATCCTGACTTTGCCAGGTTTTGTGACCATGACTATGGGAGAGGACCAGGCGCTTTCCGACTCTTCAATAACCCCTAATTGCAACATTCTGTCTATTTCAGCGTACATACTCTTCTCAACAGCAGGTGAGACAGGGAAATGGCGCTGTTTAATTGGCTTGGCACTACCCACGTCAATTGAATGTGTGATCAAACTAGTCTTGCCAAGGCCTTCCTGAGTAAATGAAGGAAAACAATTGATAACATTGGCTAATTGTAACTTTTCTGCCTCAGACAAGTCGTGTTGATCTACCTCGACCTCGCTGCTGACTTTGCTAGATTCTTTAGATTCTAGCTCGGATATATTCAGATTTCTGGGAAGAAGATCATACAGCCTCCAAAAGTCTATACCCAAGTATAGATCTTGTTTTAGTGATGGCACAATATAAATGTTTAGAGACTTTTGAATGTTTCCATATTCTATGTCAACCTTCATCTTGCCTACTATCCGTTGTGGGCTTCCATCTGCCGTGGTAGCACTAACGTTTAACGACTTGTAAGCATCATCCTTCTTTATGAGTTCGCTAGCTAAATCACCTCCAAAACAACTTATGGATGCCCCGGAGTCAAGTAAACCATACACAGTGCGATCTAATAAACGAATCGGCAAAAACGGTCTAGGATCTCGTGTTCCGATAGGAACTGAACAGATATATTTCAATCCCAGCCGACAGGTTCTAATGTTTTGCCAAAACGATTTGATTCTTCTAGAACTCCGAGATTTAAATCTTTCTAAGAGAGGGTTGGAACAAAATTCTGGATTTGATATATCAGGTAGGGTTTTAACTTTACAATGCAGCAACGAACTGACATTGCTTTTTGGAACGTCAGGGATAATTTGTGGTGCAATGAATGGTGCATCCACGTCTAATCGGTCATTGTTGACTGATTGCGATAGGTATTCGAAGTTTTCGGTTTGTACGGCAACTTCGAAGCGCCGGACTTGGAGTTTTTTGCACACTTCACGCAATTTGACTTGTAGGTGTTATCTGCTCCACAGCCGTAACAAAAAAGTCGTTTATCGGCTAAACAATCCTGGTAAATGTGTCCATCTTTTCGGCAATTCCAGCATTTTAAGGAAAACGCGTCTACTTCTAGATCGTTTTCCGATTCAGAATCTTTATGAGAATCAGATTCTGGAATCAGTTCTGAGATATCGCGTCTAAATGGGTTACCTTTACTATACCCGTGCGCGCGTTTAACGTCGTCGAGAAAAGCTTCGCGTCGACGACAGGTTTCTCTTAACTCTGAGACTGTTGAAATGTCGACATTCAGTAGTTCATGTCGTATCTCAGGCCTTAGGTTATTTTTGAGAACTCGGACAAGTTTTCGCGAGCTCCAGGGTAGTTCTAGTTGATCGACTAAAATATTTACGCTATCGTAAAAGCTATCAAAGGTTTCGCTAGGCTTCTGCTTTCTGTTTCGGATCAACTCTTCGATGTCAATGTCATCCCTTTTCTGGCGAAATTGCATGCGCAAAGCAGAACATAGCAAATCCCAGCGGACTTCGGTTACCGACTTATGGTAACGCCAATAAAATTCGTTTGCTTTGCCCTCAAAGAGAACACTAGCGTTCCGGCAAAGTACCGAGAAATTTCCATCTAATGTTTGATGCGTTAGCGCCTCAACTCTATAAATGAAGTTGTCTATTGAAACACCTGACCCCGAATATTTAATTTTCCATCCGTTTAAAATATGGACGACCTTGTCGGGTCTAGTTAGGAGATCGGACATGTTACTTCGGTGAGAGCCTGGGGAACCTATGTTGGGCATGAGCCGATGCCTGTTTTGAATTTGTTCGACACCAGAAACTGGCTCGCTATCAACCCCGTCTACCGGTGGAGGAGTTGCGGGTCTCTCTTCGCCGCCAACAGCGGAATTTGGCGGAGTAGTGATCAATCTCCGTACACTTTCTTCTACTGTATTTTGGATTAAATCGGTAATCTTCTCGGAAAGAAGCGAGAATAGTCTTCGCTCCATGGAGACCATAGTGACTGTGTTTATTGCTGTTGCTTGATCAGTAACACTATTGTTGCCGCTCTGAGCGCTTCCAGATGGACCTGGGGTATTATCGGCTACTTCTTGTTGGCGACCTTTAGACTGAGACCGAGTTTGTAACCCCTTTTCGACCACTGGCCTGCAGGAAACTTTGCATACTGGGCACAAGTCACTTTTCTTGAAATGCGCATCGATGCACTTCTTATGAAACTCGTGATGGCACGTGGTTTCAAAATGTTCAGAAGTTGTTTTAATTTCAGCTTTGCATATCGGACAGACTGGCTTGGTGGCCTCCTGTGAGCCTTTACTTGGTGATCGGTCTAACCCCATGTTTACGATAATTTCCAAAGTTAGATAAAAGGTAGCAATACAAAAAAAAAATAAAACTTTTAGAAGATGTCTTTATAAAATTACTTCAACAAGTAATAATCTACCGTGCGATTATTTATTCTTCAATAACTTCAATTAAACTCTGCACTTGATGTCTGCGTATCGTAGGAAGAATAATATTTACTTCTTTAACGTTCTCGAGAAGGATGAATAGTTTATAGATGTAGATTCAAGAAGGGAGTTGATTAGGTTTCTAACAGTGTGAAGCGGACTAGATATTTTATTCTTCGAAAATGGATACTCTAATATTCCTGCTTCATATTGCCAAAATCTAAACTCTCTAAGGCGAAATGTAAATAAACTTTCCCGTTAATCATTCGTGGATAGGGCACTGGAATTCTATGCCTCTATATTCCGTAACGCCTGTGTTAACGAAAACTTTTATTTACCGAAGAGTGGTTGAGACAGTGAAGTGGTAAACCAGTCCGAGCCAGAAGATCAACCGAAGTTGTATACGTTCTGTATTTTCATCGGACTAAGTTTTAAACAACATCACAGCCTGATGAAGGAAACTACTATCCCTGATTTCTAATTGAGGCCAGAAAGAAGACTGGTGCTTCTACCTCTGTTATCCAGTCAATTATAAATCAAAGAAGGAAGTTGTGATTAGAAAT